ATAATGACCTAAAGAGTCATAATAGTGCCAATGGCTTATATATTGGAACAGTTACAAGGAACATATGCAGAAAGCGTATTGTCTTAATAATCCTATAAAACAGTATTTTTTTAATTTAAAAATATTAGTTGCCGAAAAGCATATTTATATATTCTGTTCAAGGAGTCTACAAAGCTTAGGGCTCTCACTGTAGTATTTACATACATATTTTATAGAAGATATTTTTTATAAACATGTCAGGCATTGTGTTTCTAAATATTACAGTGACAATTCAGTTAAATAACATAAGCAATAGCATCATCATAAAAAAAGTAAGACACGCATATTATTGTACAGGACTAGGTTAGCAATAAATAGAATAGTGGTTAAGATTTCAAACACCGGGGGGTAGAGCCTGACTCTCTAGCTGACAAGATGTGTCTGTACAAGCTCCCGCTATCTGCGTTGTCTTACCGGTAATATCCTGGAATATAAAGCCAAAAAAATCCTTCAGAGGAACAACCTGGTCGGGGGATGCCACAACGTACCTAGTGAGCCCTTACTCGAAACCTTTGGCTACCGGGAACTGCTGGGCAAGTTGCTGACTGCAAAAACTTAGCTGTGGGAAGGCGGCCGACTTCCTCTTTCTCCTGCGAGCTGTACAGCACAACTCTTCCTATCTCTCACCACCCTGGACCGGCGGAGGTTATCCCGGTCCCCACTGGAGTGCCAAATTAATCACGGCCACAGGAACGAATAGACTAGAAACACTTATTTTCTGCCATGTGTGCCAAAGGTAGACATCATATAAGGCCTGACCTGCCTGTACCAGTGGGTGCAATCACTCCTCCAATAAGCTTGACCTCAGCAAATATGGCGCAGTCTACACATGCCACATTCTTTCATCCCTAGAGTCTATCTCACTTGGAACACCTCCTGGTGGCATCATGAACCCCACCTTCAATGGGAGAGCAGAGCTGTGTGGATGTGATCACAGACCTCCAGGCAATACATCAGCTCTGCAACGAATCACTCGTACCCACTGCCCACCTCGTCTGAGGGCCACCTGGGGCTTGCCCCCACGTCACCGGCCACACCGGTGGAAAACTAAGGCCCATACTAGGCCGCAGACCATCCAGGACTTCCGTTGTCCCTACAAATAAAAGAGTAAAATGGCATTCAGTCCCAAGTCCGGGTGGCATTCAGTCCCAGACCATCTGGGACTTCCGTTGTCCCTATATATAAAAGAGTAAAATGGCTGACTCACAAGTTGAAAGTGGCCAAAATACCTTGGGACTGAATGCCACCCGAGTTGGTGGCAATGATGTGAAGGCCCCTGTACAAGACTGGGGCGAGAAGAAGGTGCCCTCTTGGCATATTTATGCTTCCACGTTCAGCAGATGAAAACCTGCCTGCTGTAAGCTTCCCTGTAGATGGCATTGCATGACTCTCTGTGCATACCGCATGGCGTCCCGCAACCCTAACCAAGTGACTTTGAATACATCCTGATACACCAAGTGTTGTTTCCCAGCTTCTGGAGCTGAGAGCTTATGCTTCACACTTTTGTCCTTTGTGCCCACTGACCTTTTTTTTTCTATTCTGTTATACCTAGTGGTATTACCTTCACCCGTATAGCAAGTATGAATACTCAATATATTTTCATATTCTTTATTGCTTCCTTACTGACATACCTTCTGTTTTCACTATTTCATACCATGTCTTCTTCAATGCTTAATAGTATGTCAGAACCTTTAGATATGTATGACTAGCATGTCATCTGTTTCTCTTGTATTCCTCTATAACAGCTAAAAGTATGTGCTGACTTTTCTATATACTTTATCTTATGTGAAAAGTTATATAATGGCTGTTTTGAGAGTGTAAATGGCATTCCCCTTGTAATCACAATACACGTCAAAAATAACAAACTTAAAAAAAAGAAGGATTACAAACACTGCCATCTAGTGGATTAATGTGACATTTTTATTTTGGAATTTCAATTTCTAACAACTATTAGATCACCATGACCATGTAGTTAAACCTTTTGTTGGAAACGAGATTTAAAACTGTCTGCCATGGACCCCATTCGGTACATGTGAGGATCCTCAGTGCTGTTTGAAAACAGCAGCTTATTATACCAGAGTATAATAATTAGAGTCTCATTGTTCACCTCCAAACTTCCCCTGCTACCTTTTGTCTCAAATCCCCCTGGTATCCTTTAGATTGTAAGCTCAAGGGCCATCTAGCTAAGCACTTTGTATAAAAGAGCTCCAATGGCTAGATATCAGCTTACGGGCAGGGCTCTCTTACCTCTTGTATTTGTTTGTGTATATTGTACGTTTCTCAACTAATTGTACAGCGCTGCGGAATCTGTGTGTGCTTTATAAAGTGCAATAATAAATAAATAAATAAATAATTGTTATAATAATGTTATTGAATGCTGGAGAATCCTGCACCCAGAGGCCAAGGATTTTACATACTTCTCCCCGGTGCACCGCGGCTACAGCCGCTTAGATTATGTCTTTATAGCACAAGAATACCTGAATCTATTACAAAAATGTGAAATCCTACTGGACGCTTGGTCTGACCACTCGCCGGTACTGGCTCAGCTGACCTCGCCTCTGCATAAACCCACAAGACGCCAATGGAAACTAAATGAACAACTACTTAGCGACCCGGTCACCATAGCAGACGCTACGACGGTGCTCCGTCACTACTTCAATGAGAACGACCCGTCTGACACCTCCCCAATGATTCGGTGGGAGGCCCATAAGTGCGTCATTCGGGGACATTTCATCAAGGTATGTACAACGCAGAAGAAAGAACACAGTAGGCAGCTACAAGAGCTATATACGAAAGTCGCTAGCTTAGAAAAAGACCACAAATCCGCCCCGACGGAAGAGGCGTACCATGCGCTCCGTGAGGCCCGCCGAGACCTACAACACCTGCTCACAAAAAACCTCGCCTACATGATGAAAAAAGCCCACTGCTATTACTATGAACGCTAACAAATGCGGTCGTATGCTAGCCAGAATGCTGAGACAACAACGCCGAGTGAACCAGATCACTAAGCTGCGGACAAAGGGTGGCACCCTCACGCAGGTACCGGACAAAATAGTCGAGGAATTCCGGAACTTTTACACCGGCCTATACGATATCCAGAAAGATGAGACAAGCGCGGGCCGGGAAAGGACGGCGAGACTGACGAGGGAATACCTGGAAAACCACGTACACTGGACTCTCACGCAAGAACAAAGGGAAGCCCCCATTACGATCGGGGAACTGACAGCAGCCCTGAAGAACACACAACTTAAAGCCCCAGGCCCGGACGGCCTTCCCGCCAGATACCTCGAGGCCTTCGGGGACACCCTCCTACCAGAATTACTGACGGGCATGAACTCTCTCCTTGAGGGTGCACGCCTACCGGGAGACACCCTACTGGCAACGATTGCGGTTATCCCGAAAGAGGGAAAAGACCCGGCGGCCTGTGCGAGCTACAGACCCATTTCTCTACTAAACGCAGACCTCAAGTTGTTTACGAAGATCCTGGCAGCGCACATGGGCCGCATAGTCCCATCCCTGATCCACCCGGACCAGACCGGATTCATACCCGGTCGAGAATCCAAAGACAACACCATCAGAGCGCTAAACATCATGCACATGCAACGGAGCTCGCCGGTCGGAGGCCTGCTCCTCTCCACCGACGCGGAGAAGGCTTTCGACCAGGTGGACTGGCGATACCTCCTCGAAACGCTCAAGGCAATGGGGTTCGGAACGAATATACTGCAGTGGATCTCCACGCTATACACGGAACAGACTGCACAACTACGCATTAATGGGGTCCTGTCCACACCGATTCGGATACATAACAGGATGCGCCAGGGATGCCCGCTTTCCTCCCTCCTGTTTGCCCTCTCTCTGGAGCCATTTCTTGAGGTGGTCACACGGGACGGGGGCATTGCGGGGGTCACCCAGGGGGACAGAACGCACAAGGTGGCGGCCTACGCAGACTACCTCCTTTTCTTCGTGAGCAACCCATTGATCACCTTGCCCAATCTGCTGGCGGCCTTTGAGCGGTTCGGACGGATCTCTAACTTCAAATTGAACGCGGACAAGTTGGAGGCCCTCCCCATGTCTATACCCCCGAGTTGGTCGAACGGCTGACAGGAGAATTCCCCTTTAAATGGTGCCACCAGCGCATAAAATATCTTGGGATCTGGTTAACTAGAGACCTGACGAAAGTCTATCAAGAAAACTTTCTCCCGATTCTCCAAACGCTCCGTGCGGACTTGCTCAGATGGGGACGCCTATGCGTGTCGTGGTTTGGGAGGATCAATACAGTAAAGATGAATCTGTTGCCACGCTTGCTGTATCTTTTCCAGGCCATCCCGATCGCGATCCCGCGAACATATTTCAACACCTTGGGCTCGGCGATACTGCGATTCGTCTGGGCGAAGGGACCGCCGAGGGTAAGAAAGACGCAACTGATACTCCCGAGACATCGTGGTGGAACAGCCCTACCGTCCCTACACGGTACTACCAGGCGACACACCTCTTACGAATTATAGAATGGCATGTTCCGGACTCGGACAAACAATGGGTCCATATGGAGCGGCTTCAGACCGGGGGGCGTATTCCATCGATGGTATGGATACAAAACCCGACATGCGATGGTATCCTGCGGAACCACCCATTCATAGGCGCGACGCTGAGAACATGGACAACCATCCGATTCAAGCTGCAGCTCACCAAGAACCCGGCCCCCCTGACACCTGTGATACACAACCAGGACCTGGCAGGAGGCCTGACACAGGGGGACATTGAGGGACTGGGGGAGAGGACGAAGCAATACCTTCGGGCCTGGTGTGCTAATAAAGCCCTAAAGCCGCTGGAAGACATGCTGGGCCAGAGCAGGGAGACGGGGATCCTACGATTTAGGTACCACCAGATACGCCGGTACTATGCCACACTTCAGGGGAAACACCTAGCCCACCGAGACCTCACACACTTTGAAACGCTATATGCCTATATGCCATGCTCCTGGGTGCAGACGCGGGACCCCCGGCACACTTCCACTCAAAGTGGGAACAAGCAACAGGCGTCACCTTAATGGAACCACAATGGGAGCAAATACACGTTCTGTCCCACCAGGTGATCCTTAGTTCTAAAATGCAGGAACTTAATTATAAACTCCTGACGCACTGGTACCGGACCCCCACACGACTCCATGCCATGGGGGTCGCCCCTGACAACAAGTGTTGGAGATGTGACATCGCCGAAGAGACAGCATTACACCTGTGGTGGTCTTGCCCTCGGATAGCCCCCTTCTGGTAACAGATCCATGACAAACTGGTGGACATCTTGGGGGAAGACATCCCCATGGAGCCCCTCTCTATGCTTTTAAACCACACTCAGATACCCCTGGGGCGTTACAAGAAAACCCTTATCAGACACTTTCTCAACGCAGCCAAAAGCCTCATCCCCGCCAGATGGAAATCGCCAGTTGTCCCAACCATTACTCAGTGGATAGAACTTTATACCATGGAACTTTATACCATGGAAATTCTTATGGCAGAAGACCGCACGCAAGACCGCTGCACTCGCCTGTGGACACCGTGGATCATCTATAGCTCGGACCGGAGGTGGGGGCGGCCGAGGGCGGACCGTCTGAGGCCAGACCAGGAGGCGGAGTAGCGTGGGAGGAGGCTGGATCGCGGCCGCGCGGGATCCCCGCCTTCCCCCCTCCCTTTTTTTTCTCTCTCTCTCTCTCTCTCTCTCTCTCTCCCCACGCCCCAACGACGAAGCGAAGGTGACCGACAGGGGAGGAAAGGGGACCTTGACCGGAGTAAACGCATGATAGCCACAGATAGTGGGCAGGCCGGAGACAGCCCGGCCAAGGCTAAACCAACAACCCATCTGGGGGGGGGGTGCTGGATCCCGGGCATTATGCCCGTGCGACTCAGAATACCACCGAGGGAGGGCTCGCGGGGACCGCCTCTGGAGCCGAGGGGACCACCACCCCCTGGTCGAGCCAGAGGGGCTTGGCTCCCACGCTGCAATCTAAACAAGGTACTGCACCTCACCAACTACAACATATGCCCACGCACACTGTGGAACACTTGCTAAACGCCGGACGAAAGGCAAGCCACAGCGCCTCCGGCGGGCCCCACTTTATAAGGCAAAAGGGCTCGGGGTTGGTCAGGGAATGGTATTCCCCTATAAAGGCGGGTCCAACATAAAAGTCCACTAAGAACACTAGGTCTAAGAAACTGAGAAATGAGGCCTGATCAAGACTGGTGGGGATGGGAGGGGTTGGTGGGGGGGGGGAGGGGGCTAATACGGCGGGGGAGGTGGGGAGGGGAGGAAACTTAGGAACGAAACCCTAAAAATATTGTTGGACATAAGGTTTCTGGGCCCTGTGAAACTTGTTATACCGTGTCACTTGATACGATTTGACTTGTTTTGTAACCTTACTACATACAAATAAAGAATGTGAAAAAAAAAAAATAATGTTATTGAAGTCACAATGATAGTGAAAAATATTTTTTTCTGGTGCTGGGAGTGCACAAAGCACACACACGCTCTCTCTCTCTCTCTCATATTGTAAACAGATATGCTACTCAGATGCCTTATCCTTGCCCGATGCAGGCAACCCTTTGCACTGGGAATACAGTGAAAGGTTTGTATAATGCCCTGGTAGATATATAGGGAAGAAAGATTCCTTCTCAATGTGTGTGAAAGCCTAAAAAATATAACCATTAATCACAGAGAAATTAAAAATGTTTAGAACCCCTAACATCACTGTCATTAACTTTTAAATAATGTGGTTAATGGTTACAATTTAATACATGTATTGTACAAGCAAAACTGTTTGCAAATACCTAAACGGCTATTTATATTTTACTTTTATATTTTTTTTTTACTTAACCATTGCAATCAGCATAATGGTAAAAACTACATTTATAAAGGTCACAAGAACACAAAAGAAATACATTTTTGGAGACTGCAAGAGTTGTATGGGGGAGCGTAGTAGGTGCACACTGAGACCGTGCCTATTCTCCACAGCCATTTTGCAGGAAGAGGTTTGTAGCGTCAAGTAACTTTTAGGCCTAGCTAATAGCCTTAAACCTTTAAAACTTGTTTAAAATATTAAAACTAGACATGTGCAATTCGTTTCATTACGAATGTACATTTGTATGCTTTTCATGCCATTCAGACTTTCGGATGCATATGAATGCACGAAGTGCCGAAGTTCCAAAGTGCCGAAGTGATTCGGATTTCTGAAAAGTGGCAAAACAAGAGAGAGGGAGGGAAAATTGTGTGAATGATGACAGGAATCTTGACCAATAAGCTAATTCCTTTTGTCCACTATGCAATGTAAAACATTGCTGTTTAAGATAAAAAACACACAAATGTTTATTTTTTAAAACGAACGACATTCCGAAGTGCCAAATGCCTAAAACGAATGACATGTCGAGTAGTGAATACCAGAAATGAATGCCCGGATGCCGCGTGCCCAAACGCCAATCGGCATTTCTGAAGTGCCAAACTGAATGCCATTGGTCCAAATTGCCGAAGCAGACAATTTTTTTTACTTACCCCAATTTCTGAACTTAATTTTTTGCCCATGCATATCCCTAATTAAAACCTTTAATTAAAAAATCAAAAGTTGCATAGTTTGTGACACTTTACAATGGAGATCCAACTGTAGGAAACAATGTTTTTAACCCCTTAAGACCGCCGGACGTTCTATGTCGTCCTTCAGGAAGCGGCTATAGAACGCCCTGCGATCTTATGTACTTACCCGGTCGCCGGCGATCCCACGCCGGCGATCGCAGTATGGGGACTCACCTGGGAGCCCAGGGAGTCTCCCTCCTTCCTCTTCGGCCCCTCTGGGCCATGTGATCGCAAGGTCCTTGCGAGGACCTCGCGATCACATGGACGGCATAGCCTGTAATGACAGGCACATTTATAAAAACATTAGCAGATGTACAAAAGGCCCTGTCTATGACATCACTTGCTGCTCCAGCTTGGCACAGGTCAGAGTATTTTGGCGGTTGCCATCTTCAAACAGTCGTATTTTACAAACTATAAATCCTACAGCGAAGAGCTTTATATTGTGAGAATCACAAGACCCAGACCTACATTTTGTATAGTATGTCTCTGAAATATTAAAAACAAAGGCACAGTCGCAGTTTAGAAATTGCCCTTCAAATTTGAGCTGGCTAGAGTGGAGTTTCAATGAATGTCAATGGACGGCATGAGTTGCAAACAAATGGTCATATTGTGAAAACTATTAGGACTATGGCTTAGCCGTGGACATTTTTAGTGGCAGCAGGAATAGCTGAACGTTTTGATATAATATTTGTGTAGGTGGGCTTGAAAATGAGGGAGTGGTGGCAGTTTAGAAATCATGTCCTGATTTTTCAGCTTTTGCCAGCTCCCACTCTAGTTTTGAACATTTTGCCATTCATTCCTATGGGACCAATTTCACCACATGAACGACGATATTCCGTGAACCATTTCGGTATCTTACTGTCTATGTAGTGTAAAAACTGTGGGAGGAGTTAGGGTGGTAAATTTGGCTATAATAAGAATAATAATATATATGTGAGATAACAGTAAGTGGTCTTGCTATGCAAGAACACTTAATTATATATATATATATATATATATATTCATATCAAAGTACACGTACGATATTCACTAAATATATATATAATTATCATTATATATATTTATATATATAATATAAAATAAAGAAATATGTAAATACGTTAAAAAAATTTAAAAAAATATATATGCATGTGTAATTTCATTCTAACTGTATTTTAAAATTAATATATAAATATAGATATCAAAATACATGTAGAACAAATAATATATATATATATATGTATATATATATATATATATATATCTGTACACATAAGTATATACGTATATATCTATATATATATAAAAATAAAAATAAATTTACAAAATTATATACATGGGGGCGTGGCCTGGAGCACGACCGAAACTCAGCAGAACGATCACCTGACAGCGAAAATCACGTACCAACTCACCAACAAGATGGCACAGCAGAAGGACAGGTGACAGGCGGACAAAAATGACAAAAGCAACTTCTTCAACGTCCAAAACACTCAAAACAAACCCACAGCCGCGCTAGACGAGACGCAAGATGGCGAGGAAGACGCCAGTGAGACGCAAAGAACTATGCCGTCTGAAGCACCAGTGACCCAGGGAATCCTGCAAAGTATGTTGGACCACATGCATGATAAAATACAGCACACATTTCAATCAGCACTAAAAGAAATCAGGGCAGACATTCAGGATCTGGGCACAAGAACCTCAACGCTGGAGGATAAAACGGCGGACCAGACTGAAGCATACAAGGAACTGCGAGCAGACATGGATGGGATGCATGACAACATGGAAACCCTGGAAAATTAAATCGCAGACATGGAGGACAGATCAAGGCGCAATAACCTCAGGATCAGGGGCATAGCAGA